CGGTGTAGATCATCGAGGGGCGCGTGCCGGCGAGGCCGTCGATCTGCTCTAGCGCCATCCTTGGGTTGCAGGCCTCGGTCAGCAGCTGGCGGAACAAGGCGTCAGTTCCCGATCCTTCGAGGGTCGCGTAGACCTCGGCGGCGAGGGCCCACTTCGCCGAACTCTCGACAGCGAGCGAGCGACAGTCCACGGGCAGGCACAGGTCGTAACGACCACCGACGACATCGAGAGGGCGATGCGCAAGCCCGATCACCAATGCCCCACTGGCTCTTGACCCCGCCCACGTTGGCGAACGCGGCGTCGCTGAAACACGCGGTCGCGGCAGTCTCCAGGTCGACGATGTTGCGCTGGAACAAAATCGCGAAGTTCGCGGTAGAGCGCGCGTTGGTGACAGTCTTGTTCAGGGTCTTCGCGTCTGCCACGGTGGCGACGTTAGTGCGGCGAGCAGCGGAGCTCACCGGAGAGGCGATGTCCACCCGGGCCTGCACTGCCAGCCAAAGCAGCTACCCGAGCGCGCGGCGGTAGCTCGTCACCTCACCAGCAGCGAGCCGGTCCTCAGCACCTCGGCCTCGCTGGGCCGTTAGGTTGACGTAGTCCACCTGCGCGGCGGCGGCGGCTTGGGCCACCCTGAACACGTCGTCGAACTTGGTGATCGTCCGCCCACAATACTTGATGATCCCTTCGACCTGCATGAGGTATAGCTTCTTGCCCAGCGATGCACTGGTGGTCTTCCACTTGGTGAAATTGGCGCGCTGGGCGATCAGGGAATCGACCACGCGGGAGTGGATTACCGCGGCGAGCCCACCTTCGTCATCGAAATAATAGAAGCCCCTCTCGGGCTTGCTCTCCACGAGACCGCGCTCGGCAAAGACCTTCTGCGCATGGAAATACCACTGCCTCCTGGCGTCGCGCGCCTCGTAGATCGCGCACGTGGCCACTACGATCTCGCCAGCCCGCGCCCCCGGCGGCGGGTTCTTGGCAGGGACGCGCAGGAGCAGCAGCCCCTCAATGTTCCCCGACTGCAGGTAGGCCGCCATCGCGCCGCAGGACGAGAGGCCCCAGTCCTTCTGGGCAGCGGCGGCCGGGGTGAGGTACAGAGCGCCCCTCGACCCAGCGGGCGCGTCCGCCTTGATCTGCGACTCATCTCCCTGGCAGCCCTGCACGACTGGCCCTTGCAAGTCAGCACCCAGCGCGCGCCCTCCGGGCGGATGCCAGGGCTGCGCCGCAGGAGCTCCTTCAGCTCCTTGGGCGGGAGCTTCTCGTCGGCGCGGAACTCTGTCCACTTAGACCACTCGATCTTCATGGCGGTGTCCATGGTATTCTTCTCATTGGCGCTCAGGTTGTCGTACTTGAGTTCCTCGGCTCTCGCCTTGCCCGTGAGCAAGGCCTCGCGGAGTCGCGTGTTTGAGTAGAGCTCGTCCGCGTGCACCCTGAAGTAGCTGTCAAATAGGGGTCGACCGTGTTGGTGTCCTTCGAAACACCTAAGACGGCCCAAGACGGCTCAAGACGTTTCGAAGAGGTCCTCCAGGGTCCTCCAGGACAGCCCGAAGAGGTCGGAATCATAGATGTCCCATTGGTGTTCGAAGGATGTTGGCTTTTGCTCCTTTTCGGATTCCGACGGTCCAAGACGGCCCAAGAGGCCATCAAGATCGCACCAGGAGTACCCAAGAAGCTTCCAAGACGGCCCCAGGACGGCCCCTGGGGCCCTCAAGACGGCCCCAAGAAGGCCCCAAGACGGCCAAAGAGGCTCCCAAGAAGCCCAAGATGGCCTCCAAGACGGCCAAGATGGCCTCCAAGATGCCTCCAAGACGCCCAAGGTGGCCGTCTTGACATGTCCCGAAGATGCACACAAGACGGCCCAAGACTGCCTCAAGATAGCCTATGACGGCCCTATAGGCCCTCAACAGGCCTCCAAGACGGCCCAAAAGCCCTCCAAGACGTCCTCCTAGAATGCCCGACAGGGTTCAAACCATTGATTTTCCTTAGCTGTTTGAAGGATGTTGGCTTCTGTTCCTTTTCAGCTCTCCGACGGCCTAAGACGACCCAAGCGGCCCCCAACATCGACCGAAGAGCGCCCAAGAGGCCTCCAAGATGGCCCCATGACAGCCAAAGAGGCCCCCAAGACGGCCCCAAGACGGCCCAAGAGGCCCCCAAGACGCCCAAGATGGCCTCCACGACGGCCAAGATGGCCTCCAAGATGCCTCCAAGACGGCCTCCAAGACAGCGAAGGTGGCTGCAAGATGCATCCAAGACGACACCAGATGGCCTGCTGCCCAGAAGGCCCGCCAGAGGCCTCCAAGACGGACCAAGACCCCTCCAAGACGTCCCCCAAAAGGCCCGAAAGCTCGGAAACCACCTGGTCCGATAGCTCGGCCGGCTCGGTGTTCCCCGAAGGCTTTCGAAACCCACTCGGGGAACGCGTGGCCCGATAGCTTGGCCAAGCTCAAACCCAACTTTCGGCCACGCAGGCGCTTCCAAAAAGGCAGGGGGCGGAAGTGATTCGCCGTAAGCGTCTTCGATCCGCCGCCCCCTGTTGATGTATCAAATGTGTGCTAGAACTCCCCCTGGGGCGTCGGCCCAGCCCGACGGCAACCCAGAAAGCTTGCCCAGAGGCGGGAGGCACAGGCTGTTCCGCCCAGAATGGCTCCAAGACGGCCTTCAAGACGGCCGAGATCGTCCAAGATGGCCATCAAGTTCACCCACGATGGTCCACAGTGGCCTTCAAGACGGCCCAAGAGGGTCAAAGATGCATCCAAATCCGCTCAAGAAGTCACACAGACAGCCCAAAATGGCTCCAAGACGACCGAAGAGACCCCCAAGACAGCCCGAGAAGCCTCCGAAAGGACCTCCAGAAAAGCCAGAACTGTCCCATCGGTGTTTGCAGGATTTGGGCGTTGTGTGAATGTTCGATTGTCCGACTGCCCAAAACAGCCCCAGCGACCACCAGGATGGCGCGACATGGCCCCCTGACGGCCCAAGAGGCCCCCAAAACGGCCACAAGAGTGCACCAACTTCCTCCTTGTCCTCCTCCTCCTCCTCCTCCTCCTCCTCCTCCTCCTCCTCCTCCTCCTCCGCCTCCTCTTATTCGTATTATTAGTGTTAGTCTTCTCATTATTCATAGTATTAGGATACGTCTCAGCATTCGCAGTATTAGTTTTATTAGTAGTGTTACTATTGTCATGTTTAGTATCGATATTATTACTATTATGTATTAGTATTCGTATGGCTCCTCTTATCATTAGTATGATTAAGTCGTCTTCTGATTATGATTCCCCCTCCTCCTCGCCATCAGCCACATCGTCCTCATCATCATCATCATCATCATCATCATCAGCATCATCATCATCATCATCATCATCATCATCATCACCATCAGCGTCAGCATCATGATCATCATGATCAGCATCGTCATCAGCATCATCACATCACAAGCAGCATCGTCATCATCGGCATCGGCATCAGTATCAGCATAATCATCATCAAAAGAAACATCATCACCACCACCACCATCGTCATCATCCTCAGCATCATCAGCATCATGATTATCATGACCACCACCATCATCATCAGCATCATCATCGTCAGCATCAACATAATCGGTAGCACCATCATCAATAGCGTCATCATCACAGCATCAGTAGCATCATCATCGTCAGCAGCATCATCATCATCATGATCACAATCATCATCATGTTCATCGTCATACTTAGCATCGTCATCGTCATCGTGATCAGTATCAGCGTCAGCATCATTAACATCATCATCAACATCATCAACATAAGTATCATCACCACCATGAGCATCGTCACTATCGTCATCAGCATCATCATCAGCAGCAGCATCATGATCACCATCATCATATCATGATTTGCATCACCATCATCGTCATCGTCATCAGTATCATCATCAGCAGCATCAGCATTCCTTCCTGGTCCTCTTCCTCCTCCTTCCCCAAATGTTCCGAGGAGGATTCCCAGAACGCATGAGGGGACACACGGTTCGATAGCGTGACCGAATTAGTTTTACAATGTTCGGCCGCATAGTCGCTTCTGAACAGAAGGCAGGAGGCGGCGGTGACTCCCCGCAGGCGTCTGCGATAGTTGTACATCTAAGTCTACATCAAACTACAATGCACGTCGGTCGGAAGAAGTGTGTAACCATGACGTAGGAAGGCGGATCACGCAGATTGGCTTCAGGCTCTCTCCAGAGAACCACAGAGCACAGCAAAGCATATCGATGATTGAAGCAGGAGGGTGCTTGAAGTAGATTGGGATCTGGGAGCCCACAAAAACCTACTTCCAACGACCGACGTGTATCGGGCGTTGGCAGAACTGGGTTTAGTGCGACCTATTTCAGTGATGTGTACTGGGAGACGCCCTCCCGCCCCCTTCCACTAACCGGAACTGCCGTCACCAGAAAAAAACACCAGCTACGGCAGACCAGGTTTCGTGCTTCTGGCCGGTTTAGGGGCTCCAGGGCCCTACCACTGACCAGGTCCCCTTACCTGGGGTCCTGGCCATACCCGATCCACTTCCTCCTCATCCTCAGCACTTCCTCCGCGGGGCCGCGGCCCCCCCCTCTCGAAGAGCACACATGGCGCAGAGAGGGAGCACCGCGCACCCCCGCGGTCCCCTTGCCCGGGGTCCTGGCTATGCCCGCGTGCACGTGCGAGGGTCTCTCGGCCTGGGGAGGGCACGGCGAGGCCGCAGGCCGAAGCCAGCCCGAAGAACCACAGGGCGCCCTCCCCTCGCCCCTCTTGGGGCCCTCGAGGCCCAGGCGCGGAGCCAAGAAATGCGCGCGGAGCGCCAAAAGTCTGTGCTGATATGGCGTTTCTTGCCTCTTCGGCTCCTCGGAAGAGCTGGGACACCTTGCCGTGACCTCCGTGGTGCGACACACCTCAGAGCCCCGTGTCACCGGGACCACTGCCCTTCGTGGCGATACCTCGTCCCTCCTCCTCCCTCCTCCCGCCCTCCCGGCCGGCGAGGCGGGGGGCGCTCTGCCTGCGAGCCACGTGAACTGGTGGTGCTGCATGCCCATCTGGCCCGGCGGCGACGGCGACGACGCTGGCGACGGCGACGACGATGCCAGGCGGGGATTTATCCGTATCCACCGCCTGGGAACCGACGTCCTGGTGCCCCAGCGGGCGGTGGACACGGATATATTTCGGCCTCCGGGGGCCCGAATCTGTCCATGTCCACCGCCTGCCGAGGCTCCGAAAACTGACCCTCCAGGCGGTGGTCATGTATAAATTCCCGCCTCGGGGATGATGCCGACGCCGACGGAGCGGGAGACGAGACGGCCTCGACAAGCTGGCGCACGCAAAACTCGGGCTGGCGCACGAACAAATCCGGCTTCCCCGGAGAGGAGAGTCGGCACAAGGCGGGCCGAGAAATCGGCATTGTCCTTGGGCGAACGCGGACGTGCTTCCTGGGCGCACATTAAGGGGTGCGCGATGCCCAACGGCTCCCTTCTGGGCGCTGAAAGGCCCCTTTTCTGCAGCCCTCGCTGCCCCCCCCCCCCCCCTATCGCCCCCCATATTTGTCGTGGTCGACGAAGGAGGGGGGGAGAAAGGTGCCCTTCCGGGCCCAAAGTGCTCGCTCCCTTCTGGGTGCGAAAGGGCCCCTTTTCTGCAGCCCTCGCTGCCGCCCCACCATCGCCCCCCCTTCATCGTGGTCTTCGGCGAACAGGGACGCTCCTGGAGAAAACGTGCCAACACATCGAGAGGCTGACCCCGTCGCTGCCGCCGAACTCCCAGCGCCCATCCGGAACAAATAGCCCTGCGAACGAATCGTGTCTCCAGCACCCCTCCCTTATGAACCCCCCGGTCTCGATACACGACGGAGCTATGGATCAATCGAAGAAGCGGGTCGCCCCGAAACTGCCCCGTGATCACCAACGATCGGGTGATGCTAGAAGTACCCCTGGCCCAAAGTACCCCCAGGATTCTCGGGGTGGCCCAAACGGCCTCCAGGGCACCCCTCACGAGGCCCAGATGGCTGGCCTCCGAGGCCAAAAATGGAACAAAAAGCTGGGGGCACCTGGGGCCAGGTGCACTTCTAGCAACACCCGAAACGAGACACCACGGTGCCAAACGCCGGCCCCGATTGTGAAAACTGCGCCCTGGGCAAGACAACCGCGGACGCCCCGCGTGTTCAGTTTCAGGGCGGGGCCCGTTTATAGAGACAGCGGGATTGTTAGGCATCCAGGTACTTCGAACAGGACACGTGATCACAATAAGAAACCAGAGCGGCCTCGCGGTGATGACAACGACGACGCCAAACGATAACCACTGACAGCTCCGTAAAACTATGCCATGACAGCAAGTGTACCTACCAGCCCGTTCGTGCACGGCAGACGCAAGCACGCCCGCTCACCCGCTCGCCCGCGCACCCGCCCGCTTGCTCGCCCGCCCGCCCGCGCGCGCACGCTTACTTTCGTCAGGGTGCAAAGCAGGGGGGGGGCAACACTAATCATGTTTTGTTTCACCGGTGAAGGGGGCGAACCACGAATACCAGCCTACTACACTCGCCACGCAGCAACGCACGGCGCGGAAACTCTGCGCTCGACTCGTCGCGTGGCAACGCACGAGAAAACGAAACAAATGACATTCGTCTGTGTTCAATAGGGGCGACAGAAAAATATGATCTGGCGACGACGACGACGAACACACGAACGACGACTACCATCACCGCCCGCCACCCCGCCCGCATGCCCGCCTAGTCACCCGCACCCCCGCGCGCTCCATCGCTCGCCCGCCCACGCGGCCATTTAGCTCGTCCGTCTGGTCGCCCACCCGCCCGCTCGCTCGCGTGCCCGCCCGCCCGCGCGCCCGCCCGCCTGCCCGCGCGCCCGCCCGCCCCGCGCCAGGCTCGTCGCCCCCCTGCCCGCCCGCCCGCCCGCCCGCGCGACCGCCCGCCCGCCCCATGCCAACCCTGGAAAGGCGAACGACTAATAGGACAATATGCCCGCCACGTGGCAACGCAGGCAAGCGGAACACGGACCATTCCAAGCTACTTGTAAAGTGGTCACGCAGGGAGCGGAAACAACCAGAACTTAGGGTGTTGCTCTGTAATGTAATCGACGCGCGACGACGACGACGACGACGACGACGACGACGACGACGGCGACGACAGGGACGACGACGATCCCAGCGGCGACGACGAGGGCGACAACGACGACGTCGATGCCGCCGCCGCCGCCGACGACGACGACGACGATGACGACGACGACAACGAGGACGACCTCCTCGACGACGACGACGAATACGACAGAGACGCCGAACCCGCCCACCGCTGCCTCCTCCTCCTCCTCACCCTTCCCCCTCCCTCCCTCCCTCCCTTCCTCCTACTCTTCCTCCTCCTGCTCCTCGTCCTCCTCCTGCTCCTGCCTCCTGCTCCTCCTCCTCCCCCACGTCCTCCTACTCCTCCGCCTCCTCCGCCTCCTCCTCGCCCTCCCGCAACCACTGCGCCTCCTGCGCCTCCACCCTCCGCCCTCCAGCCCCCCCCCCCTCTTGGGTGTGGAGACGGCGGGGCGCCCTCTGCCCGACGGCGGAGGAGGAGGCGAAGGAAAGGGAAGGAGGATGGGCCTGTTCTCCACCACCACCACCATAAGTCGGAGGGGGGAAGGAGGAGGAGGAGGAGGAGGAGGAGGAGGAGGAGGAGGAGGAGGAGGAGGAGGAGGAGGACCCCCTCCTCCTCCAGCGTAACGTACGGTGGTGGTGGTGGTGGCAAACAGGCCCATCAGGCGGGGACGGGCGGCCGCCCCGCGGGAAGGAGGCGGGAAGCGAGGGGAGCGGAGGGCACGCCCGCTCCAAAGGGGGCCCAGGGGCACACAGACAGGTCGGCACCACTTCCAGGATGCCCCCAAATATTTTCCCATGTGTGTCTGTCTGGGGTTTCGTCTTTCCCCCCCCCACCCCACACCTCCAACTTCTTCCCATCTGCTTGCCTGGGGACCGGCGATGGGTTGTGTCTGTGCGCTTCTCTCCCTCCTGACACTCGGCAGCAGGAGGGCGAGCGGTCGGCGGCGCGCAGAGGACGGAGGCAAGGGAGGGGGGGCGAGTCTGTGAGAGCAGAAAGAGAAAACGTCATAGACACAAACTCGTGGCGCTCCGCGCGGATGTCTTGGGTCTGTGCTGGACCCCCCCCCCTCCCTGGCGCGCGGAGCGCGCCAGGGGCGGCGCCGGAGGCGCCGCCAGGGGGGGGCCCAGCGCGGATACAAGACATCCGCGCGGAGCGCCAAAAGTCTATGTGTGTGTGGTGATTCATTCTTCCTCTTCGAGAGAGAGAGAGATAGAGAGAAATCAGGGGGCTTCTTTCAGGGCTCGGAGGCCTCCTGACCTCTGCAGAAATAGAAAGCAACTCACGGAAGCTGTTCGTCGTCCCCACGGCGCCCAATTGCTCGCCCAATCGCATGTAAAACGGCCGCAACAGATCTCCCTCACATGGCGCCGTTGGGCGCTACTGGGCGCTATTCGGCGCCACGTGGCCGCTAGTGTGTGCTATTTGGCGACGTTGAGCGCTACTGGGCGCCATTGGGCGCCACTCGCCGATATGCATCCAATCGAAGACAAGCGGAAGCTTCTGTGCCTTCCTATCTGAGCAGAGGCTTCCCAGGCCTTGGAACCTCGACACCGCCACTGCCCCCAGGGATGCCACCTCCCCGAGGAGGCCCGTGCCGCCTACCCGAGCTGGGGGCAGGGGCTGCCTCGGGCGGCCGAGGAGTATAGAACAGAATTGGCACGGGGGGGAGGAGGAGGAGGAGGAGGAGGAGGAGGAGGAGGAGGAGGAGGCGGAGGAGGAGGAGGCCAAGGCGCTCCAGGGGGGGGCCCGCCCGCCCCCGTCGCAAGACACCCTCCGCCTGGCGGGCCACGTGGTCAGACTGCGCGCTCGGGAGAGGTCCGGGGTCGGCTTTGAAGGGGGAGGGGGGCAGGAGGAGGAGGAGGAGGAGGAGGAGGAGGAAAAAGAGGAGGAGGAGGAGGAGCAGCAGGAGGATCCCGAGGAGGAGGAGCAGGAGAGGGATCCCGAGGAGCAGGAGGCAGTGGGAGGAGGAGCAGGAGGAGGAGGATCCCGAGGATTCACTATTCCTCATCTAGGAGGCGGATCCCGACTTTGAGGGGGGGGCAGGAGGAGCAGGAGGAAAGGGGCATGCATGGCAGGAGACTCGTCGACCCCTGTCCAAGGCGTCGTGGGGTTTTTGAGTGGGCCAGAGATCCGGGGCCCGAGGCCAGGATATGCGATGGGGGGGGCGTCCATCCTCGATAGGGGTGCGTCCGAATAGCTCCCTTGGGGTGTCTCCCAGGGTTTCCTTCCTGCTCTCAGTGCCTTCATTTTTCGTCTGGGATCTACGATGGGGAGCGTCCATCCTCGATAGGCGTGAGTCCGAATCGCCCCCTTGGGGTGTATGCCGAGTGTGAGTGGCTTCAGTTTTCGTCGAAGAGTCGGGAGCTGGGGAAGGACAAGCGTCTTCGAGGGACGGCCCTGACGAGGAGAGGTCCTCGCCGAAGCTCCAGGAGAAATCCCCGGGCACCCTGCGCCGTCCAGCCAAGAGCCCTGCCGAAGGACACGGAAAAGCAGGGCTGCCGCTGCCCCCCCCCGCTGCCAACTACGGCAGGCTCGTGTCATGCCCCCCCCGCTGCCCCCCCCCCCGCTGCTCACTACGGCAGGCGCTGGCTTCTGACACCGCGGGAATCGCTCCGCCTGAAAACGGGTCGGCGGTTTCCGAAACTGGGGACACCAAAACGTACCGACCGATACCGCTACTCCCCGGACCTCTGCTGGGGTGCGTTCTGACCAGGATCTCGAGGCGAATCCAGCGGTGGCGACGACGGAGGCCCAGGAGGCCCAAAAAGGGGAAAACGAGGAGAGGGTGGAGGTATGGGTGCCTTTTCCTCCTCTGAGAAAAGTCGGATCTTTCAGCGTCGACCGATGCTGGGTCGCCAGCAGGCGCTCAGCGCCGAGCGCGGGCGGCGGCGTCTCCGCCGGTCGGCACGGCGCGGACCGACCGTATGCGTGGTGCACCTGCCACCAACGACGGGCTGCCTGCTGCACGATCTGGGACAAGAAGAAGCAGAGATCGGACAGGAGCAGGTCCCTCCTCCTCCTCCTCCTCCTCCTCCTCCTCCTCCTCCTCCTCCTCCTCCTCCTCCTCCTCCTCCTCCCCCTCCCCATCCCCCTCCTCCTCCTCCTCCTCCTCCTCCTCCTCCTCCTCCTCCTCCTCCTCCTCGGATGTCCCTGGGATGGGTTTTCATACCGTGTGTGCTTCGACTGCCCGGGGACCCTGCCCTGCTGCCCGTCCGATGCCACCTCTCGCCTGCGGCCGTGCTCGGTGCCCCGTGCCGCGTGCTGCCCACGACCTGGCCCACTGTCTGCCACCTCCCACCTGTGGCAGGCAGCCTGCCACCTCCGTCTCTGACTTCCTGCAGTCGGGGCCAGCAACACCAATGCAAGATGAGGATGCAGGGCCCCTCGGCGTGCAAATTGCAGCAGCACGTTGGCGACACGGGTTAAGTACTTGAGGTGGAAGCGTGGCAAGGGCGCAAGGCATCAGTGTGGCGACGCATCTCGTCCGTACTGTGGGGAGCACCTGTACCTGCTACCAGCCACCTGGCCCGAGGGAAGAGAGACGTACGCAAGAGCAACCCGGCGGGACCTGCTTCCGCACTGTGGAGAAGCGCGTGCCCAGATCCCAATAGTCCTGCGGGCGACGCGGCTGTGCAGTGGAAGGGAAAAAGGGATTGGGATACACCCGGGTGACCTTCGTAGACCTCTAGGAGACGAAAGATGCAAGGAAGTGGTGAAGAGGACGGAAAGCGGCAATCCTTCGATCTTCGATTTCAGATGTGCGGTGCCTGTCCAACTCTGAAAAACTGACGATACAGGACCACATGTGACCGTCACCTATCCGCAGGCAGGGCCCCTTTGCTGCAGTCAAGGCGCACACGCGAACAAACCCGAAACCAAACAACTATCAGAATGGATGACAGGAAGACCAAATAGTGCCTTGGACATTGAAACGTCATACTGCTACGGCGCGCACGCTGCACAGTCTTCTCAGTCGAGATGTGTTCCGCCCATTGCTGCTGCTCCTCCTCCTGCTCCTCCTGCTCCTCCTGCTCCTCCTCCTCCTGCTCCTCCTCCTCCTCCTCCTCCTCCTCCTCCTCCTCCTCCGCCTCCTCCTCCTCCTCCTCCCCCTCCCCCTCCCCCTCCTCCTGCGCGGTCCTCCTGCGCGGTCCACCTCCGGCGCCCCCCCCGCACGCAGGGAAGGCGACCCCGCACTCCACGGCCCGCTGCCGAAGGAATCACAACGCGCGCACGCCGGCCCAACCCGCGAGCGTGCCTCGCAGGGCGGCCGCGCCTTCCGCGCGGTTGGAGGCCTCCTAGACGGGGTCCAAAAAGATATGGGAGGCAAACACACCTACCTCACTTTTGACCACCCTCGCTTGCAAGAGACACCGAGCGATGCCAAACTACGGCATGTACTGGTCAGGCCGCCTGACGAGAAGGCGCGTGGTATGACTTGGTTTTGCCTGGAAGCGAAAGCGGGGTAGGAAATTCACGCTCTGAAGATAGGGTCAGAGGATCGCGCCGCGTCGCCAATGCATCGCAAATGTATCGCCGATGCATCGGCGATGCATCGGCGATGCACCGGCGATGCACTGGCGATGCACCGGCGATGCCGGCGATGCATTGGCGCCATCGGCGTGGCGAAAGTCGGGCTCCGCATCGAACCGTATCGCCGATGCATCGGCGATGCGGAACGATCGTCCGACCCCATCTACTCCGACCCCATGTAGGAGGCCTAGAGCGGTTCACCCCAATGTCCGCGCGAAGCAACCGGGTTTGCGCTCGGTGGAGCACCACCGGCAGTTCAGCGTCCCAGCGCTGTCTCCAGGCGTTGGCGACAGCGTCTCTGCCGTATCTTCGCCCACCACCTGGGCCTCGTCCCGGGCCAGTTTCAAGAAAGCGCCAAGAAGCCATCGAGAAGCCTCATCCTCATCATCCCATCTTCATCCTCCTCCTCCTCCTCCTCCTCCTCCTCCTCCTCCTCCACCTCCCCCTCGCTCGCCACGAGCGCACCCATATACAGCACCAGTAGCACAGTATGGGCCGGCGGAATGAGCGAAGCGACTCAGAAACTCCTCCGCGTCATACCCCAAAACGTGTCAGCAGGGCGGACCAGCCGATTCGCCGTAGACTTACCCACCCACCCTTTCTGATCCTGGAGCTTGAAATTTGCAACAGCTTCAAGGATGGAGGGCGGGTGGCTCTCAAAAATCTTGAGAACCACCCGCCCTCCATCCTCGTGTTTCTCTCCATGAGAACGTGGCAAACGACCACGTCGATTATGGAGAGAGACACCCGAGGTGTTGCTCTCCAAGCGAACGATGGGGTGCCTCCACCCGACCACATTTTGAAAATGTGTCTCTCTCCTTCGAGCCGCGCGCATTCTTGAACGAAGCGTGACGCAAGTCAAAGCATGGAAGGCGGGCCGTTTGCCACATGGGATGCTCGTCTTCGTGCCACGCACATCCGTCTCAAAAAGTGTGCAGCAACCTCAAAGACGGAGGACCCTCCAAAATTTTGTTGTCGCCCTAGCGTCGCGCAACTCAGCTTCAACATATTGCAACCAGATCAAGGGCTCGTATGGTTGAAATCCCAGGAATCGTGCTCTGCTCTGGTACGGTTGAGGGTTGTCAGGAGGCAATCGTCACCTTGGTTCGCGGTGGTGAAAGCCAAGGAGCGGTGCTCCGGCACGATCTCAGGTTCTCAGGACGCAACAGTCAAGTTGATTCGCAGCGCTGGAGTCACAGGAATTGTGATGTGTCACGATTCAGGGATCTGAAACTGCTGTCTTTCAATGGGGCTCTTGCCGCAATGAATATAGATTATTTAGGGGCCTTTGAAGAGGGAACTTAGAGAGAAGGTTTATCGCACATCGTCGATGCAACTTAGGTTTGCACTGGTCCCCCTTCTCCGCCCCCTCACCCACCATCGTGTCCGGTCCTCTTCATGGTCCTCTCCGTGAATATCAGCCCTCCTCGAACATGTTACCACCGCATCCTTTCGCTCCCCCTCTTCTGCCTCTCACTCTTCTTCATCCCGCCTCCTCTCCACAACCCCATGCTCTTCCCCCCCATCCATCCCTCCGCCTCCCCCATGCTCTTCTTCTCCATCCCTCCCTTCCTCCTCCCCCCCTTCCTCCTCTCTTCTTCCTGATCCTCCTCCTCCTCCTCCTTCTCGTCCTCCGCCGTCCTCCTCCCTCCTCCCTTTCCTCCTGCTCCCTCCTCCTCGCCCGCAACGCCGACGCCGACGACGCCGTCCACGACGAAGCCGGCCACGGCGGCGACGCCGACCAACACGATGAGGCCCTACACGACGACGCCGACGACGACGCCGCCGACGACGTCGCCGACGTCGACGACGGCCGAGGCCCGGAGGGCTCCGGGCGCGCGGTGAAGGCGAGGCCCCTGGCTGAGGCCAGGAGGTGCTCGATCGGGGGGGGCAGCCCGCGGCACAGCTCCGGCACCGGTATGGACTCCTCGCGGGACGGCGGCGACGTCGTCGTCGTGCTCCTCGCCCCGGCGGCTCCTGGTCCCTGCTGGCTGGAAGGAACGTCGTTCGTAGCCCTCCCTCCTCCTGCTCCTCCTCCTCCTCCTGCTCCTCCTCCTCCTCCTCAGGGGTTGCTGAGGGTGCCCCTGCCCCAAGGTGCCCCCAGCTTTTCGCGCCGTTTTGGAACCTCTGGGGCCCCCTGGGCCTCGTGAGGGGTGCGTTGGAGGCCGTGGAGGCCTCCTTGTACATCCTGGGGGCACTTCTAGTAACACCCGACCTCCTCCTCCCCCTCGTCGTCGAAGTCACGGAGGCTGGAGGATGAGCTGTCGGCTCGGTTGGCTCTGGCACTGGAATGGACTCCTCGCGGGCGGCGGCGACGTCGGCGTGCTCCTCGTCCTACAGCCAGCCCGTATAGTAAGGATGGGCGGGAAGGATGCAAGGGCCTTGGGAGCCCGTGCCGAGGCACTTCGAGCGGGGCTGGCCGTCCAAAGTGGCCGAGGATGGGCCGAAGATGACCGAACAGGCAAGATGGCGAGGTGCTCTTGTGAAGTCGGTCATCATCCTTACTATGCGGGTTGACTGTACCTCCTCCTCCTCCTCCTCCTCCTCCTCCTCCTCCTCCTCCTCCTCCTCCTCCTCCTCCTCCTCCTCCTCCTCCTCCTCCTCCTCGTCGATGCCAGAGAGGGAGGATGAGCTGTCGGCGCGGTCGGCTGGCATCGGAACGAGGAGGTCGATCGCCCGCCACACGTTCGGCGGGACGGAGCGGGCGGCTCCGCGTCCAGAAGAGATGCCGGCGGCGATAGCGGAGGCTCTTTCAAAATCGCACAAACAGGCAACGCCTTCCTATGACGCTCTTATTATTATTAATATTATTATTAATAATATTATTATTATTAGTATTATTATTACTTTTATTATTACTATTATTATCATCATCATTATTATTATTAGTATTATTATTAGTAGTATTATTGTTATGTGTCTTCTTATTACTATTAGTCTTCTTAATATTATTATTCGTCGTCTTATTCTTCTTTCTCTTCGCGTCCGTGAGGGAAGGCCTTCCAAATGGGGACCGAGAAGGTGGGGTCGGAGGATCGACAGGCATCGCCAAGAAATGCGCGCGGAGCGACAACAGTTTGTGTTTATACAGTTGCTTCTTCTTCGATGGAAGAAAGAACGGACCAGGACGATGGCCACAAGGAGAAGGGGTTGCCGCGAGATCAAGGCGGCGCAGCAAGAGCAGACACATTAGCACGGGCAGGACCCGGGGCAGCGGGGGCAGGGGGGCGGGGGCGGGGGAGGAGACGACGGCGGAACGGAGGGGCGCTGCAACGCTCCTTCTGCTCGAGGATCCTGCGGGACTTCTCCTCCTGACTCAGGGACTCCACGTCCGCCTCTGCCGGGCGTCATCCTCGCACTCGTCCTCCTCCTGGTCCTCCTCCTCCTGTTCTTCTTCCTCCTCCTCCTCCTCCTCCTCCTCCTCCTCCTCCTCCTCCTCCTCCTCCTCCTCCTCCTCCTCCTCCTCGTCCTCCACGTCCTCCTCGTCCTCCTCCTCCTCCTCCTGCTCCTCCTCCTCCTCCTCCTCCTCCCCCTCCTCCTGCGCGTCCTCGCACGCTCCCTCCCAGCCTGCCCCCCCTTCCGCTGCCACCCTCCCTCCTTACAGGCCTCCCTCTGTCTTTCCCTCATTCCCTACGTGCCTCCCTTCCCGAGGCTCCCTCCCATCCCCCCTTTCTTCTCCTCCTCCTCCTGATCCTCATCCTCCTCATCATCCTCACCTTCCTCCTCCTCCTCCTCCTCCTCCTCATCCTCCTACTCATCATCCTCATCAAACTCTGAATCTTCATCCTCAACATACCCCCACATTTCCCCTCCCTTCTCATCCCTTCCATTCTCCTGCTGTGACACCTTCTGCGATCGTCAGGAGCAGATCGCGATCACCCCAGCGCAAGCAACATCAAGCCAAAACAAAGAAAAACGGAAGAGAGAAGGCACCCGGTCGAAGTCCTCGCGGCTCTTGCAGTCCAGTGGACGACGACGTAGACGACGCCGGCGACGACGAGAGCCTGGACAGATTCACGTCCCTACCGAAATGCCCCTTGGGCGAGGGATCCTTGCCAGAGCAGGCCATGTCTAGCCCCCGCTTGGCATCTCTGTTCCGGGGTACCCCAGGGCAAGTTTCCGTGGGGGACTGGCTTCGACCTCCCTTTCATCTCCCCTTTCCCTCCTCCTCCCCCCCACCCTCTTGCTACCTCCTCTTCCTCCCGCGCGCCCTCGTCGCCGTTGTCCATTGAATTACCCCTCCCTCGCGTGCTGCCCCTTTGTTCTCCCCAGCACATCCCTCCCACCCTCGCGCGTTCCCCCTTCTCCACTCCCTCCATCTTGTTGAATTGCGAGCTAAACAATACACGACAACCGTTTGGATACATCGTTCTCACTTCGATTCCGAGTCCCCCTCTCTCCGTCCGTTCATCCTGCGTCCCGTCCAAAGCCCACCTCCTGACATCTGGCATCCCTTCAGGAAGGCTTCAGAGGGGGGGGTAGCCAAGGATGGATAGACCCACTCCAGCTATGCCCCCTTACCTCCCCTCCCTCCTCCTTCCCTCCCTCCTTCCCTTCTTCCCCTCTTCCTTCCCTTACTCCCGTCTTACCTTCCCTTCCCTCCCTCCTTCCTTTCTTCCCTCCTCCACCCCTTGCTCCCTCCCTCCCTCCCTCCATCCTTCCTCCTTCCCAGCTCTCTCCCTCGACCCCCCCCCATCCATGTGAACCTTCCTTCCGCCGCCTCGCCCTCCCTCCCAATCCTCATCTCTGCTCTCCTGTCTAGTCTCTCTCTATTCCCTACCTTCTTCCCCCACCCCTCCTCCCTCACGCCGCCCCTCCTTCCCTTGAGGGGCAACGATAGGGGGGGACTGGCATAGGGGGGGATGCATCCACCTGGAATCGGCGATGCATCGCCGATAGATCGGCAACAGGCCCCCGATAGTGAATCCGCACATTCCTGGGCAGGTTGGGGCTATCGGGCCCTTGACGGCGATCAATGCGCGATTGGGGGTCGATGCATCCCCCCCTATGCCTATCCACCCCTACCGTTGCCCCTGATCCCTCGACTCCTCCAGGGCGTTGCGAGGCCCCGGCGCGCCCACGGCAGCTTGCCCATGAAGTAGACCAGCATGTGGCCAATGGCCTCGGGGCTTGCTGGGATCCCGGGGAGGAGGGGAAGAGGGGGGTAGGAACATGAACAACCGACACCAACACCGCCAGGGACCACCAGTGGGAGGAACCAGGGATGGGGTCCCCTGGAAGTGTGGTCCCCCCTCTCGCTCGCGACATCCCCTGCCCCCGGCTCGGAGAGGCATCGTGGAACTCCTCGCTGGAGGTGACCCCCTGGCGGTGTTGGTGTCGCTTCTCCTTCCCCCCAGGGGGGGGGAAAAGGCTGAAATGCTGGTGCGCTCCAGGCAGGCCGATAGGGCGCTGTGGCAGGTTCCTGGAGCCCCCTCTCTGATCCCGCTCCTCGTCCTGCATGTTCCGACCGTCCTGTGCCTCGGGTCCTCGCTTCGAATTCGCGGCGCCGCGCGCCTACCCCCCACACGTTCTGTGGCCCTAGGGAGGGCTCCACGTGAGGCGACAGTGGCCGGGTTCACATGGTGGCCCGCCCCATTTCGGCGCACACCTCGCACGTTTCGTGGCCCCACAGGGAGCTGCACCGGAAGTTGGTTGGGTTCGGATGGTGGCCCGCCCCACTTCGGCAGAGCCCTCACACGTTGCGTTGCGCCAGAGGGAACCCGGAAGAAGTAGGTAGAAACATGAAGTAGGAAGGCGGATATAGTGGATTGGGTCCAGGTCCTCCCAGAGAACAACAAGACCCAGCAAAAGCATGCCGATTCTTGAAATAGGAAGGCGCTTGAAGTAGACTGGGATCTGGGAATCCAAAAATACCTACTTCAACGACCGGCGTGTACCCTGTGGGGGGGGGGCCGGGTAACGAACGTTGCTCGAGGGAGAGAAAAAAACTCCTCCTCCTCCTCCTCCTCCGCCTCCTCCTCCTCCTTCCTCCTCCACACCAACTTACGGTGGTGGTGGACAACAGGCCCATCTGGTCTGGGAAAGACCCGCGAGGCTGGCACGAACGGCACCTGCCTCGATGTCGTCGCGCCGGCTCTGCTCGAGCCTGTGGTGCGCGTTGATGGACATGAAGGACATGGACCCCACAAGCTCGGCACCTCTTGAGGAGCATGCTCATCGTCCTCCTCATCCTCTACCTCCTCTCCTCGCCCTCCTCCTTCCACGCCCCCCCTCCCTCCTCGATTTCCTCCTCCTCGTCCTCCTCCTCCTCCCGGCCCTCCTCCTCTTCATCGTCCTGCTTCTCCTCCTCCTCTCCTCCTCCTCCTCCTCCTCCTCCTCCTCATATCAATCATCATCATCATCATCAATCATCATCCATCTCATCTCATCCTCATCCTCACCTCATTCCTCATCTCCTCCTCATCCTCATCATTCTCATCATCATCATCATCATCATCCATCATCATTCATCATCATCATCATCGATCATTCATCATCATCATATCATCATCATCATCCTCCATCCTCATCCTCATCCTCATCCATCTACTCCTCATTCCTCATCTCATCCTCATCCTCATCCTCATCCTCATCCTCATCCTCATCCTCATCCTCATCATCAGCATCAGCATCAGCATCAGCATCAGCATCATCATCATCATCATCATCATCATCATCATCATCATCATCATCATCATCATCATCATCCATCTCATCATCATCATCACCTCATCCTCATCCTCATCCTCATCCTCATCCTCATCCTCATCCTCATCCTCATCATCATCATCATCATCATCATCATCATCATCATCATCATCATCCCTTCTCTTCGCCCTCCTCGCCCTTCCACGCTTCTGCGCACGCTCGCCCCCCTCCTCGCCCTCCTCCCTGGCAGGTCGTGCTCTGATGCGCACCGGCACACTACCCGAGAGCAGGGAGCTTCGAGGGAGCGGGCACCCACCAAAGGGTGGGCATCACCCGCCGAGGCACTGAGAGAGAGCGGCATGCCTGCAGTGAACCCAGGCACGCTCTCGAGCAGAGCCGTGGACCTGGTCTCTGGAGGTCGTCCGTACACGCCGGTGGGAAGAAGTAGGTAAACACATGAAGTAGGAAGGCGGGTAAAGTAGATTGGGTTCAGGCCCTACCAGAGAATACCAGCGCACAGCAGAATCAGATCGACTCTTGAGGTAGGAAGGCGCTTGAAGCAGATTGGGATCTGGGAGTCCAAAAATACCTACTTTCAACGACCGGCGTGTAGTGTTCCAGCCATCCCTCTCCCCCTCCCTCCCCGCTCGCCGCGCCCCCCCCCTCTTCATCACCCTGCCTCCCCTCCCTTCCCTACCCCCGCTGGCCCCCCTCCGCCCACCCCCCTTCGGGACTCCTCCCACGCAACGCATATCATCACAACGTGGGCCTCCGGAAATCTGGCCCCCTGCCCGCAAACAACTCTCTCGTGCGGAGTCTCCCTTGACGGTCGGGGTGCCCGGGAGGGCGAAAACTACAGACAGAAGCCGTTTGCGATTCCGCGGCGGGTGGAGGTGGGGGCAATCCCATTGTTCCTCCTCATCCTCCTCCTCCTCCTCTCATCGCGGTTGTTCTGTCTAGGTCGGGTCCTCTGGCATGTTGTTTGGAGGGCCGCCCTGTGCCGCTTAGCGGTGCAGGGTCGGCTCTCCATCCTTCGTTGCTGGATGGCCCAGCCTTGCTCCCGACGTGTCCAATCCAATCCAATCCAATCCAATCCAATCCTCCTCCTCCTCCTCCTCCCCCTCCTCCTCCTCTCGTACTATTCCTCCTCCTCCTCCTCCTCCTCCTCCTCCTCCTCCCCCTCCTCCTCCTCCTCCTCCTCTTCCTCCTCCTCCTCCTCCTCCTACTCCTCCGCCTCCTCCTCCTCCTCCTCCTCCTCCGCCTCATCCGCCTCCTCCTCCCCCTCCTCCTTGCTTTTTCGGCACGCCCTCGAACCCTCTCGCGGCGTCTCCGTTCCCCTTCCCCACGCTCCCCCCCCACCCCGCCACCTCATGCGAGGAACGCGCTCCCCTCCGCCCCGTCTGGGGAGCCCACAGAAAGGACGCACGCGCCCAGCTGTGTACATGAACGCGGCCCCTCGATCCGCGGGACCCGCCGCGTGACACGAGCACTCGCGCAACGCGTACTCTCGAAACCAGCGTACTCATGTACGCGTACGTCCTTCTTTCGCTCCTCCCCATCACCCCCCCCCCCTCCCTCCTCTCCAACCCCTCCTCGCCCTCCTACCGCTCCGGCCCCTCTCACGGACAACCTACCAGACCACCCCAACCCAACCCGAAGACCCGAGTTTCGGGAGGAATACGGGCTTCACATGTGGTTTTTCCAATGTCCCGCGACCCCCCCACACTGGAAATGGAGGACAAATGGGGGCCTTCGGGTTGGGTTGAGGTTTGGTTTGGATGATGCTGCTGATGATGACGATGATGATGAGGAGGTGCGGTCGGGCCGCTCATGATATGTGGAAGAAGATGCCGAGGACGGTGTATTTTGCGCGTAACGTTGCACACGGCGCAGCTTGTCCGTAGCGATGTAGACGTAATACGTCATAGGCATTCGGTCGTTTGGCATTGTGCCAGTATTGGGGCACCAAAAGCGGATGTTCTGGCAATGCGACGCAGCATGTTCTAGTGATCGTCTTCTGCGGTACTGCCGCGCGCACACTTGGCATCTCCGCATTCGCCTGCAGGGTGTATTGATTGTGCGTACCTGGTGGGGATGGGAGGTCCGTGGTCTTGTAGCAGTCCTGTGTTGGCGGATTGCCCTAGAAGTCCAGCAAAACCACGAATGACCTAGCGTCACCTGTCAAGTGGGCTGGTGATGTCATTTTGAACTCGTTTGCCAAGTCGTACTCGTTGTAGCTCACGTGGTAGAGTTCCATCAGGGTGTACTGGTCTGCTTCCAACTCGCATCGTTGGCCTTACAGCTTGGCAGCGCTAGTTTTTTCGAGCCCGCCGATCGCAGGAGGGCGTGCGTCAATATCGAGCGTGAAATCCCCGCAGGGCGTTTTGCCCTGGTGCTCTGGGAAATCCCCGCTTTCCCCACCCTCCGACCCATTCTTTCCTCGCCCCCCCATAAGATTGTCAGCACCCCCCCTCCTTACTGCCCGTCGGGGCGGTGGCGTTGGGGAAGGCGGTTTCCCCAATTTCGTTTCCGACGCAGCCCCAGGCCCAAAGCGCGCCGCTGCGAATACAAACCGCCTCGATGAAACGCGGGCCGGAGCAAGACACATATGACAACAATTACGCCGTCGCGCACCCTCGTGGCCCGCCCCCCACTCCTTCCTCACCGTCTCTCTTTCTCTCCTTCTCTCCTCTCTCTCTCTCTCTTTGCCTCTTTCTCGCTCTCTCTCTCTCTCTCTCTCTCTCTTTCGGTTTGTCTCTTTGTGTCTCTCTCTCCCAGGACATTTGCGCCACGTTGAAACTCACGACGGACACCAGGGAGCCATTGCTCGGGCGATGCTGCGGCACGGGGGCCAGGACTGACGAAGCCACCCACGCGCGGGAGCGTTCCAAGCGGAAGGCCACCAGGAAGATCACAAGCCTGCCCCCGCCCAGCCCTGTGTCCTCGCCGACGAAGCCCTCGCCCACTTCGTCCGCGCCCGCCCTGCCAGTCGAGCGGGGCGCATGGATGGCCGGGACACAAGGGAACCGAAGATGCCCCCCAAAACGAGGTCCTGCGCTTGTTCACCAAAGCGAAGAGAGGCATGCCGCGCAGCAGGGAAAGAGCCATAACCACTACTCCATATTCCACACCCGCGCCCCCGAAAAGGCAAGGGAAAAGTGCCCACGGACCATACCATCCCCCCGCTATTTTGGGCGCATGTCTGAAAGGCGCCAGCCCGCCGCGCCCGCGCGCCATGCCACCCGCAAGGCCAAATTATTCGGCGCAGCCCGGCACGCCACCGTCAGTGACGTCACCGCCACGCGCCGCACAGGCGGAACGCGGCCGTCACATGAACCAGCCACTCGCGGGGGAAGCACTCGACGAGGGCAAATGTTTCGGCCACCTCGTCGCGAGCACATGCCCCAATCTCGAGGTCCACGCAGGGGGGCCCACCAGTCATCGCCCAAGTCAGAAGGGCACGCAACGCCACGCACCGACGATGCATTCGCGTGGGTTGAGCCCACTCAAATAAACCTGGTGAGTACCCACGGCCACCTACAGGGGAGCTCCTCCTTCCTCGCTCGAAGACATCAAACTCCTCGCGCGCGTCTGAACCAATCGACAGCACGATCACGCGCCACGTTCCCTCGTTTCCACGCTCGCCGACGACAGCAATGGCGTCGCCCCCGCGGCTCGGGCGCCACGAGCAACGCCGGGGGGAACTGTCCGACGCGACCGATTCTCAGGTAAAACGTCGGCGAAGAGCTCCGCCGCAAGGCGGCGGACCTGAACCTCAACGGCCATCCGCTCGAAGCTCGCCGCCAAGAATGGAGGGTCCCTGGGACACACGCGTAAACAGACACAAATGGCAGGATCCCCTATGTGTTCCCATATCTTCTGGGTTTTTGTCCTCCCCCCATTTCCCGTATTTCCCATTATTTTTGGGGGGATCGACGATGAATTGTATCTCTGTGTGTGCTATCTTTCCTTTCCTGACTTCACCTTCACGGCCATCCGCTCGAGGCGCGCCACCGAGAAAAGCTTGCATTTGGACGCCCGAAATGGGTACCCAAAAAATGGGCACAATGCCCGACAACAAGTGTTGTCCCAAACCAACCGCGGCCGCTGTTGGGCGGGCGGCCTTCTGCCTCAAATGGACACGGGCCGCGGCGGCGCGGACAGCTAGCCCTGTTCAAAATGAACAGGAACTGCTGTTGGGCATTGTACCCATCCTTTCCGTGCCCATTTCGTTCGTGCCGATTGCAGGGAGCTGCGCGCGTACAGTCAAAAACCCTAATAAGGACGCGCGGTAAGGACGCAAGACCCTTGGAAGCCGAAGTTGGGATTTTTTGGGGCGGCAGACGACGAAAACCTCAAGGACGCAAGAGCAAGGAAGAGCAAGGGCGCAGGGGCACCCTGAGCAAAGTCGCGCGTCCTTTTAAGGCTTTTGACTGTACAGCGCTGCACCGGCGGCGGGAGGCCCGGGCCCCCAACCCCGCCAAGGCACCGCAGATCAGCCCTGCGGCAC